TCTCTCAATGCAAGTTTCCTCTGCTCTGCATCTGAGACATCCTCCTGCCTTATTGACTTTCGTATAAAAACATATTTTCTTGTTTCCCTCCTAATCTCTTTAGCAGTTATTCTAATGCTGTAGGTATTTAAGGCCTATGTCTACACTTACAAGCTCACAGTGGCACAGTTATATGGATACAGCTCAAGTTGCCATGTTATGCTAATGGAAGAGAACTCTGCCATCAACAGAATAAAAACAGCTCAGTGAGTGACAGTAGTTCTGTTGGCGGGAGAGCATCTCCCACCAACATAGTGCTGTGTATATGAGCACTTAGGCCAGCAACATTTATATCACACAGGGTGATTTTTTTCCCCACACTCATAAGTGACAAAAGCTTTGCTGCCATAAGTGCTCATGCAGACCCAGTCTAACTTGTATGAAAGGTTTTTGGATGCAGTTTTCTAAATTACACAATACACATGTAAAAAACCCTATAACTATAGAATTCCTTTATCACACAGGGTATGTCTACACTAGCCCCCTAGTTCGAATTAGGGTGGCTCATTTAGGGATTCGAACTTGCAAATGAAGCCTGGGATTTAAATATCCTGGGCTTCATTTGCATGTTCCTGGGCGGGCGCCAATTTAAAATCCCCTTAGTTCGAACTGACTGCTTGCGGCTACATGCGGCAGTCAGAAATTAATCCGAACTAAGTCCTTAGTTCGAATGAACTGTTACTCCTCCTGCAATGAGATGTATCTCTTTGACTTCAGTGAGAGCTGCAGACAGTGCTTAATTTGTAATGAGGTGCTGAGGTTCAAGCAATATTTTACTTTCATAACTGATGCGGCAAGCACAGTGGTGCTGGAGGTATGAACCACCAAACTTAGAGGTGCCAGGTCTCAAACCTGGTTACTTCAGCACAAATTAAGTACTGGCTGCAGATGAATGGAAGTGAATGGAAATTATTTGGCCTTAGCATCTCTGAACATCTGGGATAAAATCCTGGCCCCAATGATTTCAATGGCTAAAAGCCCCCTATTTTAGAAGGCTAGAATTTCACCAAAGGCCTTTGAATGACAAATATATTTTAAATAGAAAAAAATTGTTAGTGGCTTCATTATTACTAAGAGTTCATGCAGAAAAAGTTAAGTTTCTTACCTTCTTCTTCCCTGGCTAATACTGAACACAATATACATTTTTTTTGGTAATGCAAATGGCAATATAGGATAGATTACAATTCTGTGAAATGCATGTAAATCAAACACTCCTTATGAGGTTGAAAAACATCTGCCACAAAATGAATCATATGGTTCTGAACAACAGCTTAACTTGATAACCTAATGTTCCAAAGGGCTAGATTTCAAATCAGTGTCAATTTAAATTCTGTTCTACTTGCTTTTTCCTCTTTTGGGCAGTGATCATTGGGTCAATTTTAGCTTCTTTCCTAACCACCTTACAAGCAGAGCTGGGGAGGGGAGCGGGAGCGGGGGCAGGGAAGAGGAGGAAATGTTTTAAATAACCAGATTCATTACAGCTAAGATGTGTCCTCGTCATTTTGTGCTCCTCCCCGCACTAGGCACAGCAAAAGATGTGGCCAGGCATGCTGCTGGATTTGGCGGCAGCGGGGGGAGGGGGAGGAGAGAGAGAAAAAGGGGGCAACTTCCCCGGGCCCGGCAATACAAAAGGGCCTGGAGTTTCCAGCCACCACTGCTACTACTGTGGCAGCAGCTGGAGCCCTGGGCCCTTTATATCACTGCTGGAGAATCATGCCAAGTGCTCCTGGTAGGGTTGCCAGGTATCCGGTATTCACTCGGACAGTCTGCTATTTTCGGCTCCTGTCTGGTAAAAAAATTCAGAGAATACCGGGCACCTGAGATGTCTGGTATTTTCTGAATTTTTCCCCAGCCAGGAGACGAAAATGCCGGGCACCTGGCAACCCTACAAGCACTCAATGCCTGCCTCCCCCCCCCCCGAACCCTCCACTTGGTCTCCAACCCCTATGCTTACCTGGTTCCCCAAGGCTGCAGGCACAAAATGGCTGCCGGCCAAAAGACCTAGGGGAAGCAATGCTCAACCCGTGCTCCTATCCCTGCACTCACTCTTAAAGGGGACATGCTGTTTTAATGCTATTTTATTTTATTTTATTTTATTTGGCAACTTTGGTCTCCCCCCCTTTTTTCCCTTCAACAGAATTTTTTCCCAGTGTTTTTTTTGGGGGGAGGGAAGTGTTCGGTATTTTTGTTTCAACCATCTGGCAACCCTAGCTCCAGGCAGCGCTGAGGAAGGCATGTCATTCTTCAGTCGCCATTGAGGGCTGCCTAGTCCCAGCCCCGCCCCAGCCACCTTGCTCAGGGGCCCAGCGAGGCTGTTGGCCTCGCTGGAAGTGGCTAGTCTTGGATGAGTTCCTGAAGTCAGGAGCGACCCCACAGCATGTTGTATTCAGCCTCTCTGTTGTGGTAAGAAGAGCGGAATAAGTTGCTTCCTGCCAATTGTTTTATAAAAAGCTACTAGAAAATGTGTGACTTTTTATGTTCCCAGCATTAGTTGTTTTTTAGAGAGAAGGCTTCTTCATGGAGGCAAGTGGCTACTCTGTGAATTAGCTTTCTCACTGCTCACCATGAGAGAGACCATGATGGACAGGTAATATCTTTATTAGACCAATTTGTGCTGAAAGAGCTACACAGAGCTCTTCTGCAGGCCTGGGAAATATAACCACAGTCTCCCAGCTAAATATAAGGCGGGACAGATTGTTAAGCATAAGGACTTAACACAATGAAGTGGGCAACAAACACCTCTACAGTCACACGACAAAGGGAGATTTAGTGGATTACAGATTATTGTAATCAGATGTAACATCAGAGTCTGATGTGATTTTTAATGTCTGGCAAGTTATGATTGTTAGCTCCCATGCTCATCTTTTGAAGGGGTTGTGCAGGTTTCCCTTGACAGGAAGATCTGAGAAGTCAGACAGGGAGAGTGATTGTTTTGTGACAACTGTTCACCCACAGAGTGTTTTTGTCTAACTTTTTTCTGTGACAGTTAATTTGACAGTTTAGTGACTGTCTGGTTTTACCCACATTATTGTTGTTTGGCTGACTTAATAAAAGATATTGCCTCACCCGCCTTGTCTCTCTCATATCCTAGACCAACACAACAACAACAACCTTGCTCACTAAGGTCTTACTAGTTGGGGGAGAGGAGGGAAGCAGAAGGAGCCTTTCAGCCTACAACATTTTTTCCAAAAATCTAAATTTCAGGGGCGTGAAATGCCACAAAATAAAGAGGGGAAGAAAAATCCACACACGTGTTCCCAAAATATTTTCTGCTCTATTGTTGATTGGCAGCTGCGTTCCCATTTCCCCTGCCTCCGCCTCCGGCTGAAAATATGCTCTGGTCCTTCAAGCAGCTCCATGTAAGTGGACCTCTGTGTCACCCCACTGAAGTTATAGCCTGCACCAGTGTAGGGATAGGCTCACAAGAGGCAGCTTGCCTGATCATCATTTAAAATGAGCTGAATCATGATTTAAAAGCAATAAAAAATTAACATACAAGGCCCTTAAAAAACCCTCCAAGTGACTGTCTCTTCTCTATCTTCTTGAGGGGGCTGTCCTTTGCAGTGTCTCCTCCATTCTGGATTGACTCTGTGGCTGTGGTTTGCTGTTCTCTGGAGTCTTGCTGTTCTTTGGTTTCCTGTTTGCTTAGCTCTGCTGTAGATGTTTTGTCTTTTGAACTCCCCTTGCTCTTCTGGCCCACAGGTTCACTTTCCGTTGGGGAGACTGGCCTCTCTGTGGAGCCTGATGTCTAAAGCAGTTTCAAACAATGGTTATTTTTAGTGGAAAATATAAACATTTTGGCAGGAGGTTCATAAAAATAATAAAATCTTTGGTTTCCTGTTTGCTTAGCTCTGCTGTAGATGTTTTGTCTTTTGAACTCCCCTTGCTCTTCTGGCCCACAGGTTCACTTTCCGTTGGGGAGACTGGCCTCTCTGTGGAGCCTGATGTCTAAAGCAGTTTCAAACAATGGTTATTTTTAGTGGAAAATATAAACATTTTGGCAGGAGGTTCATAAAAATAATAAAATGGGTGGGGGGGGAGAAGACTCTCCAGAGTACAGAGTTTAAGCCTCATTCCTGTAGCCTTTATGTGGAAGAGGAGCCCCGATGGGATTGAGATCACTCATGTGAGTAAAGAGTGAGGATAGCCTTTATTTTTACATATTTCTGTGGCAAAGCTTTCGCAGGCAGCAGCATATGATGAAAGAAAAAACAAGATCATATAGCTATGGATAGAATTACATGCATGCACCCATAGCTGCAAAAATATAACCATCTCTGCATCCGAAGCTGCAAAATCACCATAGAAACTTGGAAGTGCCAGGGGAGGAGAGATAAAGGCAGGTAGCAGGACACATGAAGCAGAGGTAAAAATATCCCGTCTATAAAATTACAATACTCCACCAGGTGATTAACAAGCCATGATTTGGCCCTGGAAGTCCAATGCCATAGAAAATGCTGCGTGGAATTGCAAAAGGAGACACTGCATGAATTCCTTAAAAGACAAACAACATCACAGAGCAGACAAATACAGTAAAGATAAGAATTCAAAGTGAGAAAACACTGGATGTAGTCAAAGTTCACAAATCAAGTTTCAGATTTGAAGGACAAATAAAATAACATGATGGCTCTGTGAGGTTCTGTGCTTGTAGATTACTGGTTACATTTGTGCTAAAACATTTGCTTGCAAATGGGAATATCAAAACAACACTGACATTTATTCAGCTAAAAAGAAATATGGTAGGCGAGCCTAGAAATTAGATATGTTTAGGTTCTCTGCAAATTTGACTTGGGGAGCGTGGAGATGACCCCATGGTTTAATAAATTGCAGTGTTACCAATTTTTTTATTTCATTGTGAGTCTCATAGTAGTTGTTTTTCTTAAAGTTCCATCTCCTGGAATCATGTGATTACAGGAGAATAACAGCTTTTATGGCAACAAAGTGAGTTTTTAGCTATCATAGAGAAAGTTACAGAGCAACTTCAAACTATAAACTCTAAAGCATGGGTTCCCAACCTGGGGGGCATGAAGAAATTCCAGGAGGGGCGTGAGGTGTCTCAGCTCCCTATCTATCTCCCCCCCAAGTTTTGCTGCTATTTTTGTTTCTCGTCCCCCATCAGTTCCCTTCCCCTCCGAACAAGTTTTGCTGCTATTTTGTGGGGGGCATGAGGGTTTCTCAAATATCAAAAAGGGGGCGTGATGCTGAAAAGTTTGGGAACCACTGCTCTAAAGGCTCAGAAAGTCAGAAAGCAAATAAAAAAACCCCCAAGTCTATTAAAATACTCATAATTTTTAATCTCATCTCATTTTTTTTTTGGCGGAGGGGAGGGAGCTGATGTATGATTTTGGACTTCCTGGGTTTGGAAATACTGCAAATGGTCTATTTCATATAAAGCCCTTTTTCCTTTTCATCATAGATTCACAAGGTCCGAAGGGACCACAAGGGTCATCTAGTCTAACTCCTTGGCAAGATTCAGGATTTGTTGTGTCTAACCATCCAAAACAGATGGTTTTTCTTTTGAAAGCCTCCAGAGAAGGAGTTTCCACAACATCCCTAAGCAAACTGTTTCACTATCTTATGGTTCTTACAGGTGGGAATATGTTTTTCTGAGATTTACTCTAATGGTGTGTCTAAATTAGCACTTTGGTCGGTCAGGGACGTGGAAAAAATATGCCTCTGACCAACGTAAATTGACCAACAAAAGGGCTAGTATGGACATGACTATATTGGTGGGATATATGCTTTCTCACTGACATAGCTACTGCTACTCATTGAGAGTGATTCAGTTATGCCAGGCTTGGGCAAAATAAGGCCCGGGGGCTGGATCTGGCCCATTATGCCACTGGATCTGGCCTGTAAACCTGCAAACCACCCTGCCAGAAACCTCAGGCACACAGCTGCCACAGTTTAAAGTGCAGTCTGTGGGCTCTCTACTCTGTGTGGGGAAGGGGGAGGGCACTTTGTGTGATCTCCCCATCCCCCAGTCCAATCCTCAGCTCCGATTGGCTGGGAACACCCGGCCAATAAGCACTGAGAGAATGGTCTGGGGAATGGAGGCAGTGCAAATCTCTTACCACTCCCAGAGCTGAGATCCATGTGGAAGGAGCAGCCTGCAGTTTAAAGTGATCTGAGGCTGCAGCAGGCAGGGAGCCCAGCCTGTCTTGGGGGTGCTGCAGGGCTGCTGGCTGGGAAATACATAGGTAAGCACCTCCAAGTCAGAGCCTGCCTCTGGCATTCCAGCCCCCCCTGCGCCCCATCTCCCTCCTGTAGGTAACCATCCAAACCTTCTGCACCCTGCTGCCCCAGGCCACAATTCCCTTCTAGATCCTCTAACTCCTCCTACACTCCCCCCCAGGCCAAAATCCCTCTCCTGCACCCATACTCCCCTGCACCCCATTCCCCTGCCCCAGGTCACCACCCAAATCCTCTTCAGTCTGCACCTCCTTTTCCCCATCTCCCAGGTCACAATTCCCTCCCAGACTGCATCTTCTCCTATAGTCCCTCTCTCAGGCCAAAAACCTCTCCTGCATCCATATTCCCTCCCTTACCTTACACCCTAATCCCCTGACCCAGGTCACAACCCCTTCCTTCACCCAAATTCCCTCTCAGACCCCACACTGTCTCCTGCACCCCAGTCCCTACCCTGAGCATCCTTCTGCACCCAACCTCCATCCTAGACCTCACACCTCCTCCACAGAAAAGTGTAGCCCTTGACCACTTTCCAAAATCTTGGCATGGCCCCCCACCAAAAATTATTGCCCACCCCTGAGTTATGCTGATGGGAGATTTCTCTCCCACTGCCATAGAGAAACCACATGGGAGACCTTAGCGCAGCATAGCTTCAGTGGTATAGCTGTGCCGCTCTAAGATCTGTAGTGTAGAATAACGGCCTAAATCTGTGACTGTGCTGGAATTTGAACTCAGTGCCTCTTCTCCTGCCCTCTTTAGCAAGAGAGAACCTTTCTCCATCGTTTTTATGCAAGCCTTTCAAGTATTTACAGAGCACTATAATGTCCCCTCCTTAATCTCCTCCTTTCCAAATTAAACATGCCCACTTCGTTCAGCCTTTGCTTATATGGCTTGCATTGCATCCCTTTGATCACTTTTGTCACTCGCCTCTGGCTCTTTTCCAGTTTTTTCTACTACACCCTTTCAGTACATGTGCTGCTCACACCACAGTCTTGAAGGTCAGGGAACCTTTGATAATATGTCCTTGCTAATTCCTCTGCTCTTTAAGACTTAACAATTTAATTCTTTGATTAAGGCTATGTCTACATGACAGCCTATGTCAGCATAACATGTCACTCAAGGCTATAGAAACCTTTCCCTCTAAGCAATAAAAGTTACAGCTACATAAACCCTTATGTGAACAGGGATAAGTCGTGACACAGCTGCCGCTGCTTCCAGATTTTTTTCTTATGCTGATGGGAAAGCTCTCTCCTGTTAGCATAGGGTGTCTTCACCAGATGGGCTGCTGTGGTGTCTCTCTCTATATATTGCCTTATAATATTTTCTTTATTTTTAACTGTGAGCCCTTCCTTTTTCTTATGGGCAGGTACAAAATCTAGGCATTGCGGGCTTGTACATTAATTTCTCAGCCTTTATATGAAAAGAGCTGTAGCATTTTTTTTGACATTCCCTAATTCTACTGTAGCCCATACAATGACACATCAGGTTTGGAGCTAGATTGGGGTTTATAATGTTGTTTGAGCAACAGCACTGTCTACCATACTGAGGCCAGCTGTTAGCCATAGTTTCAAAGGAAAAGAAATATTCTTAAATCTAATTCAGAGCTATCCTGGAATTGCCAGATTTATCTACACAGACTCTATATGACCTGGTTAGTGGTATAATTGCTTCTGCTGTAGGAATTCTGCCTCCCTGAGTGATGGTAGATCCGTAAACAAGAATTTTTCTATTGACCCAGCTGTGCTGGGATTAGATCAGCATAATGACAGCAATCAGTGGTGTGGATTTTTTTTTTTTTTGCATACCTGAGCACCATGGCTATGTTGACCTGTGTTGTTAAGTGTAGATTAGGCCTAAATTCCAAGATGTAAGGACAGAGTCTAGCTCTGATTAACATCCTGTGAAACCAATGGGGCCATACAGGTTGTGAAGTTACAGCAGAGTTTGCCCTATCATGTTTATTCAGTTGAGTGGGTCCCTGATAGTTATTGTAGTTTTTCCAGCCAAGTCCAAACTAGCTTCAAGGGGACTGTTTTGATGCGTGCAGCAAGCAGATATTGGCCTTTGATGTTCAGACAAAACACTTGAAACAATATCGGTAATTTTGTTTTCAGACAAAGCAGAAAACAATCAGATAATCTCTTTGAGGCATTTCATATTAATCTTGAAAGGAATTAATCAGGAAATTGACAGATTTAATATTGATGGGAATGACATCAGGACATGCAAACTGAAATCTATGAATAATGAATCACATTAATGTTTCTCATTTTAAAGGCTGACCTGCAGCCAACAATCTACATTACAGGCAGTCCCCGGGTTACGTACAAGATAGGGACTGTAGGTTTGTTCTTAAGTTGAATTTGTATGCAAGTTGGAACTGGTACATATTGTAGGGGAAACTCTAGCCAAACATTTCTCCAGAGCTCAGTTTTATTCTCCCACACCTCACTTCCCTCAGTCCTTTCTTCTCAAGCTGAGAAAAGCCGCTCTGCGTCTCCCTGGTCTGCTGGGGGGAGGCCGGCGCTAGCTTCGCGTCTCCCTGGTCTGCTGGGGGGAAGCAGCTAGTGCGGGGTTGCCTCACCCTGTTTGTAAGTAGGGATCCGATGTAAGTCGGATCCATGTAACCCGGGGACTGCCTGTACTGGTTTTGGCGTTGATTTACTCCTATTGAAATGTGTAATAATTTATTTTAAAAAATTAACATCATAGTATTTTTCTTGTTGTGTTCTAATAGGGTTGAGCCAAAGATTTTGAAGTCAAAAGAAAGATTCCCACTGACTTCATTGGCTTATGGATTAGTCCCCTAATGCAGTACAAAATGTCAGTGATGCCAATAGAAATGGAATCAGAACTTTCCAGGAAAAGCTAGAAAGATAAATTAGTGTAACCATTTAAACCAGGTTAAAAAAAATAAAGTAAAAAATTGACTTATTCTTCTCTAATATTGCTGTTAGTGAAACTTAAGTTAGATGATATTATTGCACATGAGAGAAGAACCGGGCCCACTATATTCATGTTTTTTTCCCTAGAAACATAATGGCTGTGTCTACACTGACAAGTTATTCCGGAAAATCAGCCGCTTTTCCGGAAAAACTTGCCAGCTGTCTACACAGTCCGCTTGAATTTCCGGAAAAGCACTGACAATCTAATGTAAAATCATCAGTGCTTTTCTGGAAAAACTATGCTGCTCCCGTTCGGGCAAAAGTATTTTTCCGGAAAACTGATCCGGAAAAGGGCCAGTGTAGACAGCACAGTAGTGTTTTCCGCAAAAAAGCCCCGATCGCGAAAATGACGATCGGGGCTTTTTTGCGGAAAAGTGCGTCTAGATTGGCCACGGACGCTTTTCTGGAAAAGGTGCTTTTCCGGAAAAGCGTCCTGCCAATCTAGACTTGCTTTTCCGAAAATGCTTTTAACGGAAAACTTTTCCATTAAAAGGATTTCCAGAAAATCATGCCAGTGTAGATGTAGCCAATAGGTAATTTTAGCAAATGACAATTTAAGAAAAAGAAAGAAAGAAAAAAGTAAAGAATATGAGCCCAGGATTGTAACCTTTAGTCATTTAAGAAACCTCATTGTAAATAAAGAATTGTAAGTTTAAAAGAGTAAAGGTCACATGATCAGACCCTGTATCTTCTGTGATCTCTATAAGACACTAATCAGCTAAGATTAACTTAAACTATCAGCGGATGTTACACAACAGAAAAGTATTTTCCTGATGCTAAAAATGAGAATGAAGAAAGAAGTTCTGACAGGTCAACTTGCATCACTGCTTTAATTTTGCTAGTAAGTTATAGAAAACCATAACATCCTGAACATGACCAGGTTCTTAGGTGTCAATTGATTTAGCTGGTGTCAGTTGATTTAGTTCTAGTGACTTAAATAGAGTTCTGCTGATCTAGTGACTTAAATAGAATATGATGGTCTGGCTCATATAAGGATTACAGCTTTTGAATGTCTACTAGAAAAGTCAGTAATTTTACAAAAAAATCTTGGATAATAAGGAACATAAAGGGACATAATCAGGCAGTTTTGGCCCACGTGTTTGAAGGAAAACTAAATAAAGGAATAAAAAACAGGACTATGTAGCACTTTAAAGACTAACAAGATGGTTTATTGGGTGATGAGCTTTTGTGGGCCAGACCCACGAAAGCTACATAGTCCTGTTTTTTGTTAAAGTGCTACATAGTCCTGTTTTTTGTTCCAGCTACACCAGACTAACACGGCTACATTTCTATCTCTAAGTAAAGAAATGTTTTCCTGATTTTTGTTAAATTTCAGTGAAAGTTTTTACTTTAAATTTAACTCTTTTTCCATAGGGTTTGTTACCAAATAATAATCTCTCCAATAGTGTATTTGAAAAACTAGGAAATAGCCAACTCAAAAAAGATCTGTCTAATTTCACTGTCCAAGCCAAGTAAAGTGCAAAAAGGTAAACAAATAGCATAAAGGATGTAAAGGAAAATAGATTATGAGAATTGGCTCATTTAGCTAATTATTTTATTATGAAAATGGAAAACATTTTAAAAGTAAGATTTTAATCTGGCAGTGACCTTTTAAATTCATCTTTATTAGGCAACAATAACTTGAAGAGGTTCGATGGACATGATGCAGTATTTTTACAATCAGTGATTTTTGTATTAAAAAAACAATCAAACACACAAGTGGAAAATAAGATACAGTGAAACCCATCACCAAGAGATGAATAAATCCAAACACTTACTTGGTGACTGGGGTCTGGCCCATTTATCTCTTCTGAACTGGTGGCCCCGCCATCATTTTTAACTGACTAAAATAACAAAGGAATATAGGTCTTCCCAGCAGACTCTTGCTTTTTAAGCACAGTTTCAATATTAATTCAAAAGTCAAACAAAACCACGGATTAATTTGAGTACATTGGCAAAACAAAACCATCACTTCTCAAACTGTCTGCAAACAGTATTGAAATGCTTCCCATCCCATGTCTCTATCTCCAAAGCTAATTTTTGCATATGTATTTCAATGCAGCACTATTGTCTTTTGGAAGGCAATTTTCCTGTTGAGGGCTGCACACTATGAACAGCCTCTCACAGGCTTGATGATTGTGCAGTATGATAAGTGGGATAGATGATGCTATCATTCCTTCCATCAGAGTTAACTAGGGTCACGTTTCTAGCTTACAGCTCTGAGACAACTAACTCTTATAGGACAATCCTCTTTTGAGGTTGTGGTTATATGTTATTTCTACATATGTGCTTGACTCTGTAGTTGACAATTAAAAACTACTGAGATGTGTAGATTTTCACCACTGCTCTACATTTCCATACAACTTATTTGTTCTACTTTATGCCTTAACTCTCAAAGGACCACATGCACAGAGGTTAGGGGTTTGGAACGGGTCCCATATGAGAAGAGGTTAAAGCGACTGGGACTTTTCAGTTTAGAAAAGAGGAGACTGAGGGGGGATATGATCGAGGTATATAAAATCATGAGTGGTGTGGAGAGGGCCAATAAATAAAAGTTATTTATTAGTTCCCTAAATAGAAGAACTAGAGGACACCAAATGAAATTAATGGGTAGCAGGTTTAAAACTAATAAAAGAAAGTTCTTCTTCACACAGTGTGTAGTCAACCTGTGGAACTCCTTGCCAGAGGAGGCTGTGAAGGCTAGGACTGTAATAGAGTTTAAAGAGAAGCTAGATAATTTCATGGAGGTTAGGTCCATAAAAGGCTATTAGCCAGGGGATAAAATGGTGTCCTTGGCCTCTGTTTGTCAGAGGCTAGAGAGGGATGGCAGGAGACAAATCGCTTGATCATTGTCTTTGGTCCACCCTCTCTGGGGCGCCTGGTGCTGGCCTCTGTCGGTAGAGAGGATACTGGGCTAGATGGACCTTTGGGCTGACCCAGTATGGCCGTTCTTATGTTCTTAGGTAGCCACCTTTCCTGGCATCAGATCTTTTTGGTCAGAATAAGCAAAGTAGATTTTCAGGCTGTTGCACAAGCAGCTTGTTCAAAGTAAACTCTGTCTCTGAGGATGCATCTACACTGCATTGTAGGTCGAAATAAACTACATAATTTGAGCTATGCAAATTGTATCTTATTTTGATGTTATTTCAAAATAGCTTATTTTGAAATTTGGCACTGTCTACACAGCACTTATTTCAAAATAAATCGCTGTTCCGAAACATCCCTTCTCCTCGTGGAGTGAGGTTTACAGGGACATTGGAATAGTGGCCCGTTATGTTTTGAAATAACGGGCGCACTCAAAAGATGTGGAATAACTATTCTGGGATACCTTTAGTATCCTGAAATAGTGCTGCAGTAATAGACATGGCCTAAAAGACCTTTTAAAAGAATATCTAATGTACCCATATTTTGAATATGATATATAATCAGTTTTATGGCTGGGTATGGTAAAAGGATTCATTTCAATTTGGGTTACATGTTAGGTTAACATTAATAATTTAAAAATGACTAGAACAATATACAAATATTTCAGAGTTTAAGAATGGGTTCCGTTTATGGCAGGTCAACAGAATATATAATATGGTCTTCTGTTGCACATTGTTTAACCATGGAGTATTAAACCCCAAAGTTCCCGAGTTTGAATGTCATTTTTCATTGCCTAAGTACAATGAAAACAATGAAAGGATGTGACTTTTGCTCTAAAGATAGACCAAGCGGATTTGTGGTTTTCTGCAGCTTGTAGATTTATCACTTGCAACACAACATTATCAGCTCAATCCTGAGTACAATCTCTTAGCAAAGATTTGGTTTTGGTGTATGATTATTTCTTTTCACTCTAGATGTTGAAAATTAATACTAAATAGGAGTTTGTTCAAAAGCTAAAATTTTAAGTGGTTACTATAAGCAATCGCATTTGGGGAAAGCATTATTCCCTTCGGAACATGTTTTGGCTTGATTGATCAATTACTTAGTTATATACCTACACTCATTCTCTTAGGAACTTGTTTTGGTTTGGTTGGACAATTACTTAGTTATATGCATGATAGTTGCAATCTGTAGGAAAGATTGAAGAAATGGGGCTGAAGAAACACTGCACGGTCTTTGTTTCATTACAGGCTAGTACCCTAGTCTATGGTGTTTGATGACTATAAAGCAATAAGATCAAGTTTGCATTTCTATTTCAGTGACTCTTATTCATGTATGTTTAAAGTGAATTTTATAAACAAGTACATTTACCACAATACTGCCTTTTATACATAGGAAAGAACAATAGCAAACCTTCAGTAATCTCTCATATTTTAAACAGTTAATTATCATCAGTGGAGCATAATTAACTATGGCCTAAATCTTTCAGTCTTTAAACAAGGGGAAATCCTGTTTGTTTCAATGGAAGTTTTACCTGAAGACTATATGGTTTCACCCTAAAGAACTGTTTCCATTTAAGAAAGGAGGGTCAACATGACAAGACAGACGATGACAGGGTGGGGACAGGTAATAGTCTTGATAAATACAAGCTATGCTTTTTTGAGAATTTGGTCAGTGTAAAATACCTTTATCTATACTAAGAGGAAGCTGTTACTAAGGACTTGTCCACACTGGGAAATTGACTGGCTTAGCTATTCTGGAATAATTTCCTACAGGAACACTCCATTATGAAACAGAAAGTGACTTTGTTCCAGAATAATTGCTCTGTTTCTGAAGCAGAATAAAATCACTTTTTATTTCAGGACAATGTCCACGGGTGGGAATTATTTCAGAATACCTAAATTATAGTAGAATAACTGCAGCTAAATAGTTGTTCTAGAAGAATTATGCCAATCAGTTTTCCCGATATAAACAAGAGTTCATTTCCAGTTTTCCCATTGACCTCAGATTTATGACTTTCACTCATTGTGGTCAGAGAACAAAGAAAACTTTCATACTGTTCAAAAAATTCCTCATAATACCCACAAATCTTTATGACATGTGACACATACTTGTTTTGATCAAGTAAGCATTAGTGGCAGGACTGGATTTTGCATCCATGCTTGATTACAGTTGCTGACATTCCTTTATGTTTAATATTGTTATACAGGATTGGACTGAGTCAGTACTCGGTGGAGCATTCTACCAGCCCTTCTCTGATAGCACCAGTAGGTGTTGTAATATTTATTCTACATAACAAGATTCTAGGATTGTCTCTTGGTGAGTCACTCTGATGCTTAAAATCTATGAGTAAGTGTGGCGTGATGGAAGTAGCATGACTGAGAGATCTTTTTGTTCAGGAGATCCCTGGGTTGAATCATAACTGGGTTTCGCAGTCTGTTACTGTCCAGTGTTCAAGTCTCAGACATCTGTACTTCACAAAGTACCATTATGTTGTGTATGCCTATGGCCACTATCAGGACAGGACAGGAACACCTGGGCCTATGACCACCACAAGGACAGGACAGTAAGCGGTGGGTAGTAGCTGCTCCAGTGGCCAGCCTCATCTCCTCCACCCATGGGCTGTGCCATCCTGCAAGTCACTGTCTGTCTCCATCTGGCTGGTCCACTTCTAGCCTACAGCTCATACTACTCCTCCCTGCCTGGTGCCTCCTGCCTTTTCCCCTGCCAGTCTCCTGACTTCTGCAACCCTGGGCCTGCTCCCCCCCAACTCTGTCCTGCCCCCATGACCCTGAGCGCAACCCCCCTGCAGAGTTGCCATGGGGTGCAAGTGCTCTGGCTGTGTTGCGCACCAAGAATTATAAGGATGGTCTTGCCTCTTGGATTCACATCTACACAACCAGCCACACAGCAACACAATATCCCTAAACACATGCAGCCCTTCATGGCAACACATGATGCTCATCCACAATTCTCACAAGTTCACACAATTCTCTTAGCACAATATAAAACAGTCAGCATGCACAATATAACACAATCTGCATGCACAATCTCCCCAAACATCACGGTGAAACTTAGAATGTCTGCAAGTCACTACGAAGCAATGGAAACAGCAACAAGCTAGGAGCTCTTTTTGTTCAGAATATTACCAAGTTCAATCATCACTGCAGTCTCTTACTGTCCAGTTTTCAATTTGCTAGCTATTTTCAGCTTTTTTTTTTTACATATGAAGTTATGAATCATGTGACAGTCTTTTATTAACCCTCTCTACATGTATTTCTAGCCTTTAGAATTGCAAGTAATTCCTTCCCAACAGAATGAATAGAGTGCTGCCTGACTGAGTTTGTAAATGGCTTGTAAAAAAAGCTTTGTGAGATGTGAGCTGCCTCTTGCAGAATACGCACAGTTAACTCTGAAGTCTAATGATGAAATTCTAAATGTCAAGAATGTTAGCCATATTGACACTCATCATTTTTGCAGAAAATCCCAATTACTATTGATTGAGACAGTTTCCCCTTCGGTTATAGTGCTCCAGTCCCAAGGAATCCATTCCTTGTGAGTGAGGATGATGGTCTTAGCACTGCTTGAGTAGAATAGCACCTCTTTCCCCTCACTCTGGCCTCTGACTGTTTTGAGGACTCCCCTCAATCAAGATGAGTTAAGGGAGACTGGATCCCTTGGAATTGGAATCATGCTTGAAGGGGAGCCTGTCTCAGTCAAAGCAGAACAGCAAGTGGCACAGAGGTGTTGGCTGTTCTACCTATATTCTCCAGTATTAAAGAATAATCAGGAACTCAGGAACAAAGAAAGACAAGACATAGTTCAGAACAGGATCCTGACAGGAAGAGTTTAATCTAGGAGGACAATGAACAGCCTACCCATGTAGTCCAAAATGTTTTGTTCTGCTCAAGCCTTGGTAAACCTTGATCGACTTCTGCCTTCACTATGGCAGTATACACTAAAGGGCAATGTCAACATA